CAAACCATCTCTTTGAAAGATTTAAAAAAAGATTAAGGCAATAATGTTTATTTATTGCAAACTAACAACATCTTAAGGCATAAAACCCTCACATAATTAGGTATTTCATGATGTAACTGCTTATAATAAGTTTCCCTGCATCCTTACAAATAGATAAAGTAAATATGGATTGTGTGATGTCAATGCAATTGTTTCATAATGTGTTTATATGCCCAAATAACTTGCTTAAACGATGGCATAAAATATTACCAATTCTACTTTTCTTCAACCTCGTATTTATTAATTTTTTTCGCAAAAAAAATAATGAAAGATAATTAAAACGAGGCAAAGTTAGCGATAACTTTCCCTATTACTTAACCAAAATTGAGGGAACTAAGAATACGATGAGACAAGCAAAAAGGAGATGCTTGTAGCAAAGAGCTACCGTTAACCAGAGTAAAGGGGAATGATAGGAAGAAGCGGGAGAAAAGCATCAAAAGTTCTGGCACAAAAGTTTCTATTGAGCGGATACGGCTCAAAGAGGTAGCCACAACTTCGGACGTATGAAGACAAAGATGGTGTAGTCTTTAGTATAGTCGCCGCCCACATTTGTTGTATAGAAGTTGTCTGGCCACTTTTTCACAGCTTGGTCATATTGTTAAGAACACCTAGAGTAATCGATAGTGTGCATGATAATTTCATAATGAGATGATGGACTTATTACATTCTCATCGTTGTACAGGAAATGTTGATCTGAATCGGCGCTTTTTTTTCGCAATCTTCTTCCTCCAGGTCCTATCAGAGTCTTCCTTTTGCTCCATAGGATCCGTCTCTTATCTGCATGGCTCAGTGATATCGCTAGATTGTTTCACCATATCTTTGCTACTCAAGGTGTTATGTTCTACATTCTGACTTGAGCCTTTGATGGCAAATATACGCCAGCTTCATTGAGCAAGCAGCCTAAAGTCTGCATTCTAAAGTTGCAGTGACACTTAACATGTAGCATGTTCACCGAGTAAATCTCGTGATCAAACCTTTAATCCAGGAAGCACATATGAGATCATACTTATATATTATATCCAACTATCGATGGCCTCCGCATCAGTATATTCCTTATACTTGCAGTTGTTAGCGATATTTAAGCGCTAATACTGAAAAGCTTTCTTAATTGTAATAAAATCACAAAATATTGTCATGAAAACGATAAGAATTTTACAAACTTGCATTAAATTTTACTATTTTGCCCTATAAACTTACACAAACAAAAAGTAATCAAACTAACACTTCTAAAGAAGTTGTTTGACCTTGTTTTTGCAACTTGTTTATATTGGTAGGAAGACTTAGAGGAACGCACCTTGTACTGAGTCCATTGTATGCATAATCATTTCCAAAGTCGTACAGTGGATGTGGTACATTCACAGATGTTTCGCAGGCACCGTCAGTGAGCGCTGTCACTCTTATCACGATAAAACAACTCGTCGAAGAGACAAGTGAAGCCGATTCTTTGACCAATTGTCTACTAAACATTCGTGGAATTTCTTCTTTCGACTGAAGATAATCACCAATACTATATCCTCGTATCATAATTTCATTATCACAATTTTTACTTGCTTATTTAAGTGTGCTAAAGGGACTTTCATTTCGTTTCAAAGTAAATGAAGAAGAGATTTATTGGTCGGTCTCACCAGATAAGGACGGATAAATCTCGTTAAACTGCAGATGTTTGGCTTTTATACGATATTTATGTTAACACAGTCCACGAGATTTTCCTCCTCGTTTCGAGTAAAAATTTGCTGAGCTTTCCTCCATTATATGATGAACATCATCAGAGCTATGTGTCATTCTTGTAAGTCTCACGTTAACACTAGAGCAAAAATATTATCCGGCTCTATCTTACTTCTTATATAGACTTAATCAAGCCAAAATAAAATTAAAAACCTAGATAGATATAGAGTGGCTTGGTATATTATCTTTATACTGGTCCTGTTACTTTTGCTCTAGTGTATGTGTAGGTGTATGCGTGCGTGTTAGCGTCTTTATGCAATACGGTTCCTAAATCAAAGTTGTCAAAGATTTTATCTCAAGTTTTGATCCTTAAGGCCTAATGATCAAAGAGAAAGCCTTAATCGAGACTGCGAAAGTCCGTAAACAAGTATGGTTGAGATAATTAGATATGAGCGTGTAAGCATAAAAATCAAGTTACAAAACCACTTGTTATAATCTTTTAGTTTAGGCAAGATTAAGGTTGGGCAATCTGACATGTCTTATTTAGTTGATGAGCTTGCTCATATTTGTTGGACGAGTGTGAGTGAAGTTAGAATCATCACCGAGTAGACAAATCG